CCCCCTAGTACATTTTTCAGGCACGGCAGCAAGAGGATGATAGAGGTTTTGTTGCAAAATATTTAGTAATTTATTTCTTGCGCAACACTAGACATTTGGTTGGTAATTTCAATGTAAAGATAACGTAAAACAAGGACAGTATTGATAAGATGTATTTATAGCACACAAGTAACTGTCAAAGCTACCAGTTACTTGACAAAGAAGTTAGAACAACCAATCTTTAAGAAAAACAAATAAAAGATTATTAATAAAGAGATAAATCAAATAATAAAATATATTAAATAATAAAACTATTAACTATCAAGTTGGAAAACTTGGAGAAGCCAGGGTGAAGAATCAAGTGAAGATAACGCCTCATTTCTATAAACCTTGGTGTATGTATTAAATCCATTAAAAACAGTATTCTCAGGTCACATTCGTTCATGTTTTTCATGTATTGGGTTTGTTCATTTCACACAGGAGACACAGAGAAAGGCACCTGACAGAGACTCTCAAATGCAAATAATTATTTCTAAATGAGTGTATATTGAACAGTATTATGTATATATAAAAAAAAGGTTGCCTGTTGTGTAGGCATGATGGGGGGGTTTCACTGGCATGGCGACCCACTGTTCTTGTACTATCATAGAGGATATACTGAAACATATAGTTATGGGCTAATTGCATCTATCTGGATCTGTGCTGTGCAGAGTGGGCTGGGTGTGCAGTACCACTGCAGCCTGCATCAGTCCAGCACATGGATCCCTGTGCTGGCAGTGAAGTGCTGAATGTACATTTGCTGGGCTATTGCCCATCATACACTGCTTTGTCTTCTTAGACAGGTGCAGTTCATTATGTTGTTTTTACCTATAGATGACATTTAATACTGAATACAGTACGGTGGAAGACTACATTGTTTTTTTACCCGTAAAAATATTTAGATCACAAAGATTTACATTTGATGATGTGGCATTAACAGCCAAATTTAGTCAACAATATAGTTCTATCTTTTTGATATTTTCTCTAATTTATGTAGTTAGGGGTATAAAAAGTTTAGCACAAGCCAATTGTTTAGTCTGTGCTTATAGAAGATTGCCTGAGGAGGATCAAGTGAAGTGAACACCTGTGATGAAGAGGCCCAGCACCTGCTCAGTGGAGCATGAGGAGACACTGGGAGCCTTATCTGTGCATATGCAACAAGGAGGAATAAGAAACAAATGGGAAGCTAATATGATACAAGTAGATTTTAATGTATGTGAACTGATCAGTATTAAGCAAATACTGCACATTTTATGGTTTTTAGCACATACACCTAATTATCAGACCTATATCATGCTGGAACATGATGGTGCCATGCAGATGAAATTAGAGGGCTATAGTAAAATATGCCTGGTACTTTTGTTTTCCCCAGATAAAGTGCCAGAGTGTGTGCATACATGCTAATGTGTGTTATTACTGATCCATCATAGAACCATATTGGCATTTACACACAATCTCCACAAGCTCATATTTCTTCTACTCAGGCATACCACATGCTGAGCTCCAGGAATATTTTGCAGAGAAACCCAATTTATTTCCAAGAGAGAAATCTTGACCTGTGTTTGAAAAATGCAGCTTCCACTGTCCATGTGACAACATTCCTCTTAGTGAAGGAAGATAATACATACATATGGAATCTTCTGAGAATTTCCTTTAATGTAGCTCACATGTCTTAGCTATTAATCTGATTATATTTTGTCTATTATTCCTCAACAAGAATGTATAGTAGAGGGTTTTGTAACTACATTGCCGTCCTTTATTTAAGTGTATTAGGTAAACATTCAGTGATTTCTTGAGGAGCCACTGAAGCCACCAGCCCTACACTTCCTCATGAGTAGCCATGCAGATGCAAAGCCAATTCATTGTAAACTTAGCAAAATTACATTTTTATGATAATGATATGATGAAAATTATGCTAATGATGTTAACCATGCTGCAGCCCAAATGTGTGCTGTGGAAAGGGTCTCAGATTTTCTGGTGGTCTTAAATTTTGATTTCAAAAAGAGTGCAGCAACCTTTAAACAAGGCATTGTTCTTCCCTTTGGACAGACCCATGCAAGCGATTTCCTCCTGCCTTCAGTCTTTATGCTACTTTAAACTAAGGTAACCACATTGTTACTCCAGCTCAGAATGTAACTCACAGACATGAGAGGAATAATCGATCTTCCCATCTCCTCATCAGATCTTCATCTATCCTACAACTATAAAGAAACATGATCTCTTTCAACCAGTAACAAGTAAATCATTGTATTGTTCTTGTCCAGATGGAATACAACAAGTATGTGAAAGCCTCAGCTAATGACATCAACAATAACTAACTGGAGTCAGCAGTTAGAAAACCTGGAGTCCAGTCCCTTAAGCCAGACTGGAGGTGTGAGTTAGATCCACTTATAAAAAGCACTCAATTATTTACAGTTTGTTATTCACAAGAGGCATTTGCTGTGTGAGTCATGACTCCAACATTACAAATGAAGATGATTTAGTTCTCTGACTGCTTTCCCTAGAAGGTTTATGCCCAGCTAAGATGACTCCAAAGGCCCAACACAGAATGCTCAGTGAGGCAAAAAAGAAGTCCAAAGTAATAAGTGAAACCTTAAAGAATCTCTGTTCATGAGTCTGTCATGGAGAATGCCAAACAAAAGTGAAATATAAAGTAGATAAACAGTAGCACAAAGTCTAAAGGCACTTTAAACAGCGAGTGAAAAGAAATATAATAAAAAGTATATAAAAATATAATGAGAACACAATAAGAGATAATGTATGCTGCGTCAGAGCTGTGTGTGCAATAGTCAGCAGTAATGAGAACACAATAAGAGGTAAAGTATGTTAGATCCAAGCTGTATGTGCAGTAGGCAGCAGTGGGTGTGCAATTATGCATGTGCAGCTGAGCATGTAAACAGTACAGTTGCAATTACATGAAGTAATTCCTGATTGTAAACCCCTGTCAGCTGTTCAGGAGTCTGATGGCAGTTGGAAAGAAAGAGTTTTTCAGTCTAGAGGTCCTTCATTTCACACTTCTGAACCTCCGGCCTGGGTGGAGTTATCCGGCAGGCTATCTGTGTAGCTGTTGATGCTGGATGTGGTCCTGTAGTCTGTGATGTGCTGCAGGCCTTGCCACATCCGAGTCAGCAGTAGAATAGAAGCCACTCAGCTTCTTTTTGTACTGCCTGCATGCAGCATGTGGCATACCTGACTGTTTATCCAGGGCTTCTGGTTGGGGAAATTCCTGACTTGTATGGTGGGCACTATGTTGTCAACACAAGTGCTGATGTACCCAGTCACATACTCAGCATAGTCCTGTACGCTGACAGAAAAGTCCTCCAAGGTAGCTGCAGCTTTAAACATATCCCAGTCTGTCTAAGCAAAACAGTCCTGCAGGGTGCGCTAGGGTCTCTGGGGTCCAGAGTTTCACCTGTTTGGTTACAGGTTTTGTTTGTTTTTTTGTTTGTCTTTGTCTATAAGCTGGATACAGGAACAATGAAACAAAAGTACACATAAACCGTTGGACCAACCTTCTGATAGAATACATCACATTAGAGAAGATGGAATCTACTCACAAGAATTTATCAGCTTTTTATGACACATGAAACCCATTTTAACACATTTCAACTTCAACCAGACACCTGGGGCTGAGGCCACGCACATTCCCACCAACCTCTAAAAATGTAACAAGCTATTTTTATTAGTAGTACTGTTATCATCATTATTGGTTATTTATTTATTTTCCCTCCTTTTCCCTTTCTTGCATTTCATAGACTGAATACGTTGGAAATATCCACACTTCACACACTACAATCTTGTAAAACACTCTATATCCTTTTGTAATGTCATGTATCTGTTGGAAATGTGGTCCGAGTGTCTGAAGTGGGGGTGGGGTGCAGCCATGTATGTTGCTGTAAACATGGTCCAGGGTGTTCTTATTCCGAGTGGAAATGTCCACATGTTGGTAATTTTTGGGAAGTACAGTCCGTAGATTGCACTAGTTAAAAGTCACCCGCAATGATAAAAACAGCATCAGGGTGAACTGTCTCTATAACGCTGATGACTTCATGGAGTTTGATAAGAGCAGCCATGTGATTAGCTCTTGGGCTAACATATGCTCCTGCCAAAAACACACTGCTAAATTCTCTTGGTAGATAATAGGGCTGGCATTTCAGCATTAAAAACTTCCAGTCTGGCGAACAGTGCTTACAAACAGGCTGTATAGCTCCACATCAGTTGTTGATAAACACACACACACCCCCCTTTGGTCTCACCAGAAGCTGCAGTACGGTCTCCTTGGTGCACAGAGTGAGTCTGTTAGAATCTGGGACTTTGTCAGAAAGCCAGGTCTCTGTGAAAATTAGAGCACAGCATTCTCTTATTTCCTGTTGTGTTGTAATCCTAGCTATTAGCTCATCCAGTTTGTTTTCCAGAGACTGCACGTTAGCTGGCAAGAGGCTGGGTAGCGGTGGTCGGCTTGTGCTAGCTTTTAGCCTAGCATGGAGCCCTCCCCTCTTGCCTTGTGTGCGTCTCTGTCTCTGGAGGGCTGTCCTGGTTTCAGCCTGCTCACTCGAGCCCGGTGCTTTGGGGCCTTCCTGGGGATGGTGATGGCTGCGGATGCGGACAGTAAGTTGTATCTCCAGTGGTATTGTTGGACGTGTTCTTTTATATTGAAAAGAAAAGACTAATATAAAGACATTTCACAGTGTGAAATTTATTATGCATTAACGTAACAAAATAAGCATGTGCACATGGATCTCCACTGTTTAGGATAAACAGGAAAGACTGACTCCAACTTAGCGGTATACAATATTTGTACGAAAAGATGTTACTATCTGATTGGTCCAAAACTGTTGGGGAGAAGTTGTGGTTTAAACTTAACTCTCCCAAGATTGGTCCTTCAATCCGTCCATCCTTCAATCATCCTCTCTGCTCCAATGGTCGTGGACAGCGCCCTAAAAAGGGAGGAATACCTATACCGTCTTAATTCCTACATAGACACTTATGTCTTCCTTTGTTTCCAAGGAACTGCTACATTTTAGGCATTGCTTTCCTGTTCCAATAAAACTGCTCTGCCTGTATGTGTATATTGCCCTGCCTTTGAAGTTGTCTTCCTCTTCCTGACTTTAGATCTAGTCTCTTGTTTATTACCCTTGGTGTCCCAGTGACCCCGAATTCCCTGGCCTCTTCAGCCAGGTGGTGATAATAAATTAACTGTGGACCCTCTTTGCTAAAGCTGTAAACCTAATGAGATTCAGTGTTTTAGTGAACCAGTCTCCCTTGATGTTAACCAGTGCTCCAGTTGGCTAACACACTATACTGACCAGTGATTCAGTGCCCACATAAGGTATATAACCACATATTCATAAACACAACTGTGAGATTAAAATATATAAACTTATGTATGCTATATAATGAAAACCCTAACTAATTATATTCATTTCTATCTAAAAATGAAAATCACCCTAACAGTATGAAGCCAGCAAATTCCAACTGGCTGTGTGAGTTGGCAATATCCAGCAATGCCTGCCTGTTGTATGTTAGCAGACAGAGCAAAAAACACAAAAAAGAAGAAAAAGCCGGCATTCGAGAGTGGAACATGCAAACACGTTTGCTATGGTGGGTGCCATGTTTATCAAATTCTCTTACAAAATAATATCTACTGAAGCTCATTAGAAGTTGGGTAATGCAGCAGGACAGTGACCCTAAACTGTTAAGTAAATCTATTACAGAATGACTTCTGAGAAAATCCATCTTTTGGAGTGACTCAGTCAGAGCTCAGACCTCAACCCATCAGAGATTGTGCAATTCACACTAGATATCCTAACATAATGTCTAAGCAGAAGCAGTTCTGTGAGGAAGAATGATCCAGAATTTGTTCTGAACATTGTGCAGGTGTGATTCACAGCTAATGGAAGCACTTGTCTGAGGTTATTCCTGCCAAAGGAGGTTTGTCCAGTTATTACATCCAAAGGTTCACTTCCTTTTTCCACCAGCACTGTGAATGTTTAATGTGTGTGTTTAATAAACAGACAAAAGATTAAAATTGTCAATGTCTTATCTTAAGTACATTATGATTGTCTCTATATATGATTTCAATGAATATCAGGTCACATTTTATAATCATTTACTCCAGAAAACCAGGTGGTTCCAAGTAATCCACATACTTTTCTTGCCACTGTACATAATATCTGTTTGTGTATGTCAGTGAAGAACTATGTATGTGCCCTACTGAAATGGACAAACAAAATTTAGATTTCATAAAAAAAATTATATGATTTTCTGTTGTTCAGTAAACATGAATCAATTTATGGTTACTACAAAAGCTGTTTGATGGTTATTGCTCAAATAGGGTCATATCTATGTTGATATTAAATGTTGAACTGGAATATTGTTTTTTTTTATAGGCAGGAAAACTAGCTGTTGATCGAGGATGGGCCATAAATGTAGGTAAGTGAGCACAGTATGTGTACACTCAAATGGTATATGCTCACATCCAGTAGGGCAAAGTGAATTACCTGTTACTTTCAGTGTCCAATCTTGTCTCTTACATGTTACATTTGTATACTGCAGTTCTCTCCAAATATATCTGCAAGAAAATGCAATGTGGCAGTTGTTGGCATACTGCCATATTATCAGTTGCATACATGCAAATCTTCATTTGCCTGTAATATGGCTCGTTTCTACCGCAAATGCATTTTGATAAGGCTGTATTTTAAAATAACAGGCTTCACAATTTCCATGACTATAGTGAAGGATTCAGAAGCATTTTGTCCCATTCCGAAGGGGTATTTATCTATTTCTTGGCCCATTTCAGATGGAAAAGAGTGGTCTACCATTATTGATGTAGTGTACATACACTATCCAACAGAGGATGTAGTGTTGTGGTCAAATTTGAGCTAGGCAGGAGTCAAGCCTAGAATCTTCTGATCCGTAGTCAGATGTGTTATCCATTGCGCCACTAGCCCCAACTGTAAAATGGCCGGGTCACAGCAACAGATGAGGGGCATTGCTGTTGCGTTTTAGTGTTTGACGTACTCCTGCCTCTGACTCATTTTACCAAGTTGTCAACTTGGCAGGACAAGCATATTTTCATGCATGAAGCCTTTTATTATCTGACTCAAAGGGTCAGAAACCCCCCCCCCTGTTTTTTCACCTGGCTCAGCAAGGTCTTCATTAACTGGTTGTGTTGTCTCAAGATGGTCTCTTTTGCCATCACGCCATTAATCTGCTTAAGTCTTTGTTGAAGTGTGCCACATTCTCCCCTGTCACTCTCTAGAGCTGCATTTATCTCCTCTACTTGTTGATGGAAAGGCTTTATTTCATTGTTCTGGTCTTTTTAACTTTGCAGCAAGCTCTTTGCCCTTTTTTTCCTCTTCAGCACAACATGTGTTGGCACTTTGAATTGACCCTTCAATTCCTCTACTTGTGAAGCAAGTCCATCCTCCAGAGTCGTGCAGTCCTGCAGCAGTTTAGCTAACTTGTAGGGGCCCATTGGCCTCCAATTGTTATGGCTTTGTTTTGTCTACCACATTTTTTATCATGAAGAAGTGATGATGAAGAAGTTCTGCACTGAAATGGTTCTGTATTTGATGTTTTGTTTACTTCTGATTTGCTTCTGGGGAGAATGGAACCTGTTCAAATTCAAAAGATGGAAAAATACAATCAGCTCTGCATTTTGGTGATGCTGCAACAAAAGTAGCAAAGCATTATACAAAAATAAAGCTCTTCTAAAAAAAACAGCTCTAGTACAGGATATACTGTATGTTTGGGTGCAGAGAGGGGAGTGGTTCTGGGATGCTGGAACACACTGTTGAGCCTTCCTGGTGTTGTGGGCCCAAGTCAAGTCAAGTCAAGTCAAGTGTTTATTGTCGCATGCACAGTGAGGAAACATGTTTCCCTGTACAATGAAATTCTTACTTTGATTTGATTTGATTTATTTATTCTTTCAAACATGTAAAGATAGTCGATATGTCAACACACATAATTTCACACATATCCACAAATGCTAATCCATTATCAATTTGCTTATACCTAGTACATGCTTGAACGGAGTAGGAAGAAGTTAGACTTATCTAGTCCTACCCCATAACATCATCTTACCATCATTGGTTTGCAAGCAGTATT